CCGTTATTGGTAATCGTGTCGCTAAAAGTATAGTGCTTTCTGTGGACGCAGGTATGGCGGGGGGGGGGAGGTCGGAATAGATGTATCAAGCCTACATTTCGGTTGACTTCGCACTGGGCTAATCGGGTCAGCTGAAGAAATTGCAGTAATAGTGGGAGCATATGGTTGGCTTCTGTCGGGTATGTGGGAGTGGGAATGTCCTAGGCTTCATTCCCAAATCCATTAAAAAGGGATTATAGAGCGAAGTGGTGTGAGAGGATGCACATGTCTAAGATAGAGTACGAACTGGTGTTACCCGCTTGATAAAGTTCCTCCTATTCTCATTGCCTTGCCATTTACTAGAGCGTGGTATGGGATGCTGCCTAAAAGTGTCCAGTAAGTATTTGCTTTTGGTTTTACTAGGTGCAGCATATCGCTTCGTATTATGGTTGTGGGCTGGTGACTTATACAACACATGAGTTGTGCTTCCGCAGTTTATGGTTTTCTTGACACCGATTCCTGGAGGTTTCAAGCTGTCGATGGCACGTTATCTACATCACTAGATTGTTTGCCATTGATAGTACTTGGAATACTGTTCTCCGTTTATGAGATTGCTAACGGGCCACCGACAACGATCTTTCCCCAGTGCTTAGGACCCATACTAGCCAGCATGGTCGATGAGTTCAAATCAATCGGCTTTCCGATATTAAGACTGGGGATATCTTCCTTGTCCAAGTGTTGTATTAGCTACTCTGTGCTGCTTTCATGAACCGTGGGGATTGAGAGCTCTGCCTGATGATAAGAACAGTCGAGATCCACTTCCACGCACCTAGTTACCTCACTAATTACGTTTTCTTTTTGGATGTTTCACTGCGAATTCGAGATTAAGTTGGTCTTTCCTTCAGACGCTGGTGTTGATCGCCTTCCGATGGTTCTTTGTAAAGGTGACCTATAAGATTTAAGTAGTAGATCGCTGAACTCGATCCCTTGGGCTACGTAGAATTGGCTAATCTGGAATCGGTTCATTGATTCAACACTTAAGAATCTGCAAGGCAGCATTCCAATTCCGAAGCAAAGACTTCGTCACGCCAGGTGAATTAGTATGCAATTGGAGCAGCGATTTATGGTTAACTAAGAAACCAATCGTGATAACAGGGACATGCGTCAACGTGTTGGCAACGTTACAGTTTGGATGTCGTCTCGAGTTGGAATAGTCTTGGTGTTCCCTCGAACTAATTGATAACCCGTTGGTGGTAACGATTTAAGGTCGATTTCTGCTTTCCAATCGGATCCGCGCATCGGCGCTCGTCAGACTGGTCGGATTAAGAGGCATCGCCATGCGCTTGAGAGTTCCAGTTATGACATTATCCTCTGGTACGTTACACAGCGCCGTTACGATTGCATACTAATTCACCTAGCCTGAGGAAAACTTTTGTCAAAAGTGAATCCTTACCCAACCAATACCACAATTAATTGTTTCAAAATCTCTCCGAAGTACTTGAACGGTTTCCAAACGGCATGCTGGGAATGAAAGTTAACAGTACATATGAGGTGCATATGAACGGAGAGGTGAAACTACTCACTTTAAGTGGGCTTGGTTGCGACTGCCTTGCTTTCCGGTGCAAGCGTGCAAGTCGCCGTGATTGTCATGAGGCCTCTCGGAGTCAGGTACTATGGCAACCGTCCCAGTACATTTGACCAACGCTTGGCGTACGGAAGTTTTACAGCAATGTGAACTTTTCTGTCATGAAAGGCACCCAACACCGTACAACATCTTACTCTAGGTTGTGCGTAGTGCAGCTGCATCCGCTGCGTAAGCAGCGTCCACATTATATAGTTAGAAGGTACTGGGGAATATGGAAATTTAGTGTTACCTGCCCGAAAACACTGCACTCCAAGACGCATTTCCCCTATATTTGCTCTCATCAGGTAGCTAGCAGACCGCGAACCTGTTACCATTGGGATATTAGTTGGGACCTCTAGCCTTTAACCTCCGGGTCCTGATGGACCAATGTTGTCATAGCTATTGATGACTGATTGGAGGGTCATTCTGAAGTACGTGTTGTGTGAATTGATCTTGACGCGCAATCTCGATGAGGAGGGTGATTCGCAATGAAGTGAACCTTAATCAATTCGATCATCGGTCAACAGTCAATAGCATTCTGCGTCATCAGTTTTTGTCCTGGTGATCGAACTGACGAAGATTCACTTCAATGCGAATCACGGTCCACCTATTCGTCGCAGTTCAATCGAAAAATGATTACTTCGAAATAACCCACCACTCGGACAATTACTGAGCATTAGAAAACAATTTTGTGTACGGATTTCATTGCCTTAACGCAAACTGAACTACGGTGTACTTTGGAGTGAACAGTAATCAGTTTATATCCGAGAGGAAACATAAGGCAAACAACCGTTTTCGATTTCTTCCTCGTCAGACATATTACAGAAATATACTTATCAGTATACGGTATACGGACACACTGTTTATTAGGTAAAATTTAACTTAAACAGTTCTCGTGATGTGTGTCATATGGTCAGGTGATTGGCGGCCCGTGGGATTGATTGGCGGGAGCCAGTTCCTCTCGTGTGGTTGAGGGCCATGGAAGTTACAGTGCTTTGTTACGACTGTATGAGGAGCGAAAAAATGAAAAGTTGCACTCGTCCGCAATACTGTACCCCACCAAGGCCCTTGCTATTTTCCGAAAGAACAGAAAATGTGGGACAAGAGGCAGTAGATAGCAGTGTTTGGAGTGAGCGATTAGGGATCCAAACAAGCATTAAACTGCATCACGCTTCAAATTTGAGGGCGCATGTTGCGAATCAAACTATCACTTCTCAAACTTAATGTCAGGCTTTTGACCTGTGGACCAACAATCCTTACGTCAAGCGTTAGATCGTCAGCGCGTTTATCTCTACAGGCGGTATTCAAAAAGCCAGGATGCTCGGGAGTAAATGCCATATTTGCGACGAAATATTCGTTCCCACGTATCTGCTAGTTGCGAGGAATAAAACTGCCTATTAATTGATGAAAACCAGATGATACCAACAAGAGAATACTTTCTAAACTGACGTGAGCGTGGCTGGTAGAAGCTTAACACGATCGATGTCCAGGAATCAAACAGCTTCCCCCAAGTGGTAATCATTTATGGCATTTTTGATCCATGCTATACCCACGTGAAAACTTAATATCTGAGAAGTCAAATCGGATTGTAGCATGGTGGCTCATTTCCGTAAACTTCATACTTAGATCGGTTAGAGATAAAATGATCAAATTAATCCATCTGTAACTAATACAAGCTTCGCGAATGTCGTCTGGGTGCATAAGAAAACAAAAGAAATCAACCACAGTGGGAATCATTAAAGGCTCTTTAGCGTTGTAATGAAATAGTATAGAACCAAATTGCTTACAGCATTGCAATTTGGGGAAACAGCGAATTTTCTATTCATAGTAAACGGATTTACAGTTGCTGAATACTTACGAATAGGTTTTTCTTCGTTGCGCTTCCGCACGTTAACCCTTAGTTTGTTAGCTGACTAGCGCTTTCAAGCTTGCGACATTTGCAGTATGCGACCGGTCGGGATTCCAAGTTTTTTAATGTTTCATAAACAGAGCAAGTTGGAGTAGACTGGTGGATTTGCAATGAAAAACAGATTAGTGTAGGTGGCTGGATATCGCTATCCAACCCACCTAGTAAGAAGGAACTCAGAGGGACAATTGTTAAGTGCTTGCGCATAAGCCAACATGAAGGTGTAACCGAATAGCCTAGAGCAAGCACACGCGGACATGGGCGTCCCAGTCTAGGTCACACTAGCAGGTAAAGAGGAGGGGTTGGTGGTGTAGTTAAAACAACATGAGCCAAGGTTTCCTCAAAATCCAGGTGCGTCTTGGCAAGTAACTCAAACTATGGTCGTCACATGCACCCATTACACGGTTGATTAGCTTGGAAGCAATGGAAAACATATTTTTCTTTGGAGCAAGAAGCTGTTCTGTTGAGGAGTCAGGTTACAATTTTCAAATGCAGCGTTGGTGGTATTCACTTAGGTTGCGCTCTTATCTGGTTCACTCGTCCTTTACACATGTCGTGCCAATTAAACGGATCAGTTTTAATCATGAACAACTTTTTGCATATCATATAATAAGATAATATGCTCTTGTTTATCGACCGAAACCCATCTCGGTCTACTGTACCAGAAAACTGCAGAAATTCGTGAATTCAAAAACAAGAACACGCTTCGGAAATAACCAGTGGATAGTGACCCTTACAGTACATTAAATTAAAAATGAGTTTGGCCCATGCGTCATCGTTTTACATAACCTTATACGCGGGGAGCCCTTAATAATGGCATACGCTGGATTATCCTGGTTGTTGGGGCACCACCATCATGGATAACCATTGATTCAATTCCCATGGATATCTTTCCGGACCTGATTGAAGTTGGCAACGAACCCGACAGTTAAAGCACACGAAACCTTCGATTTTCCCTGATTTTGCACGCATTAAAATATCCCGAATCAAGGTTGGTAGTGAACGTAATTTCGTTCTCATCCTTCAGCGGTGGGTCGAATATCTACGCCACGTCCACCGTTAGCGACAACAGTTGACATTCAGGCCGTGAGGCCAGCTCTCGTCGACTACTAGCAAAGTTTGCAATCTGAGAAATGATAGCGTTGGGATTTATCAGTACTGTCTTTGGCCCAATTGTTTGTTTACAAAGCTTACCAACAGGCTGAACTATTCACTCTATCAGAAAATCGTAATTTCAAATTTTCGGTATTTACGACATCCTTCCGTCTTGGTCTAACAGTTGTGAATTGTCGACACCCCGTACAAATTTATGGAAGCAGTCCTATATGTTCCCGTAATTAGTACAGTCGAGAAGAAGCACTGCTTCGTTTTATCTACTCTTCCGGTACCGCTTAAAAGTCCACCAAATAATTATAAACGAAAATGTATTAACATGTAAACCTAGGAGCTTTCTCATTACATTCTGCACCCTATGAAACGCGAACTTTTCAGAATCTTCTCGACAAGCTGCAAGGTATCAAAGTGAATATTCTTCAGCCATTTATATCAAAAACGGAAGCACTGGTGCAACCGTCACCCGATTATCAGTTCGATGCCAATACGCTGGCTGCAATCAAACCAAAAGTGGGTCAATCTGCCTGTTTGCAATCTTTACTGGTTTCAAAATTTTCATTTTAACTGTTGGTGTTGGAGATGAGCAACCTGATTCTCTATATATTCCTTGCACATTTTTCCATTTTATCTGCTCTATGACTACAGGCTATTAGATGTAATACCATACATCACATGACTAGCATGATACTGCTACTCGACGTTCGACGAACGCTAATATTTGCTAAATACTTAAATGCTAGTTGTATTATAACGATAGGTTTGCGCTGCCGACAGAAGCTTATGCATCGCATTGTGACCACGGTATCTCTACAGGTCAGTGTTGTACGCTACGCATCAAGGAATGGTGAGATTTCAGCTGTGACATGGTTGGCGGCATCCGGTTTCGGATTTGCCTGTCACTGTGGACAGCCACAGGACGCCTGCGCCTACAGAGGGACCATGGGTGGCTTGCGCTGCACCACCCACAGCTCCATCCACACACCCCCATATCCAGTGTAAACCCGAAGGAATAAGACCGGGAGACAAGCGGATGGGAGCCACGTTTCATCAACGGAGCCGACCTACACTCCTTCACAGGCAAACACAAGCACGCTGTATTTGGGAATCAAACGTACACAAGGCGGTGGCTGGACCGTAGTCCGCTCCACACTGAGTGCATGGAACCGCTCTTTGAGCCTAGCGCGGCCACAAGAACCGTGCACCCCATCCCCTCCAGCAACGACCAACCGTCTCCTGGAGCCAGATGGACGAGGTAATGGGTAATAGACAGTTGAGCACCTTGTCAACATGCACATCAATTGCAGCCACACCTGGGATGTCAAACAACAGCCGATCATTCGAAATGCCGATATCGAATAATGTAAACGCATATGACGACATAAATACTCGCTAAATGAGCATATGGAAGAAATTGGTTAAATGTGAATACGCGATAAGTACAAAATGTCCGAAAGCTATTTTTAAAAATACAACGCGGTAAAATTACGTAAGTTTACCACAATTTTTGCATGAGCCACGTGTGTAGGTTGGGAGAAGATTATCAAATGCGCAGAACAAGAAAACAATAAAATTTAATGAAGTTATCCACATTAAAAAGACCTAGTTTAAGTGTAAGTTGGTTTAGCCCAGCTGCGGTGAAGAAGCATCATGAATGCGACATCAGCCTCAACATGGGGCACAGCGCACAGCGCACTATATATATATATATATATATATATATATATATATATATATATATATATATATATATATGAGCGGCTCGATTGGTTCGACGAAAGCACTATAACGATTGGGCCATTAGTACCAAAGCAAAAGGCAGCATTCATCGAATCCGAGGTTGACCCTAACAACGCGATGAAAACCAAGAATCTTGTCACATTTGAATGCAGCTAGCTGGAGAGCTGCGTCAACTGCAAAGTACTTGGTGGACAATGAAAGCTGAGCACATGGAGTCCTACGCTGAATACCGTCAACAGAAAGATTTCTACAATTCCTCGAAACATCGTACGTGCAGCAAGACCCAGAAGGACTTTGGGACCGGCGCCGTATACATACAATCTGATGATATCTTGCAGATGTGGCACAGACAATTTGACACCCTCCTGAACAATCGATCCGAGGTTGACTGGGACAGTGCACGGGCTGCAACACTACAGCGTACTATCCGAACGTGAGAACACCCTGTGAATGTACAAAACACAGAGAGCGCCTGCTCAAATACGGAATAGGAAATGCGCTGGTTCTGATGGTATACCTCCGGAAATACTGAAGAACGGAGAACCAGTTATGATGCGCCCACTCCATTGTTTGGTGGAAAGCTGTCTGGATGGAAGCGCAAGTGCCTGCAGAGTTGAAAGATCCTCTTGTGCTTCCACTGCACAACGGAAAATGTAGTAAGCAATACACCAACAATAATCGTGGCATGAGTTTACTTAGCTACATCGGGAAGATTCTTGCGTACATCCTACTCAATCGCCTTGTGACACATATACTGGAACCGAAGGTAGTTGAGTAGCAATGTAGGTTCCGCTCGGGCCAAAGCACCACAGACATGGAGTTCGCAGCACGTTAACTGCAGGAAAAATTTCATGAACGCAATCAACCGTTGTATTCGCTCTTCGTTGACTTCACCAAAGCGTTTGATACGGTGAACCGTGAGGTGTTGTGGCTGATTCTCTCAAAGTTTGGATTCCCTGCAAAGTTTATTCGTCTGATTGAATGCCTGCATACTGGCATGCCAACAAGGGTGCAGCTAAATGGACAGATTTCAGATGACTTTGCCGTTATCTCCGGTGTGAAGCAAGGATGCGTCTTAGCCCCCACACTGTACAATATCTATCTGACTGCTGTGATGTCTTGCGCATTCAACACGTGTGAATGCGGTGTGCACCTGGAGCACAGCGTGGATGGGTGTTTGCTTAACATCCATCGCTTTGAAGCAAGAAGCCTAGTACGTGAGACAACCATCCGTATGCTGCTGTTTGCTGACGACTGTGCGTTGTTTGCACACACCGAGGAGGAACTGCAATGCATGATGACTGCATTAGATTCCACGGCGACCAAGTTTGGACTCAGCATAAGCACAGGTAAGACTGTATGCCTATTCCAGCCGGCACATGGAGTGGGGCCCATGTTCAGGCCAGAAGTACGGATTGCAGATGAAGTACTACAGAATACGCTAGCATTCTGCTAACTCGGGCGCAAGTTGTCAACCGACCTGCGGATCAGCGACGGACTGCGCGCTCCTGTAACGAAGACGAGTGCGGCTTCGGGGGAACTGGAACATCGCGTGTGTAATAGTCATCATCTCACTATTAGGACCAAGGTGATGGTGGACTAATCCATGGTTCCCTCGGTCCTTATCTAGGGATCGGAAACGTGGACACTGTACAGAAAAAATATCCGGTTTCTGGAACGATTCCAGCAGCAATACCTTCGCCGGATTATGCACATCCACTGGTGTGAGAATGTGCCGGACACTGGTGTGATCCGCCGGAGCGAAGTGTACACCATGGACTGTATGTTACTGCTGCGACACCTCCGGTGGCTTGGACTTATGCGCCGTATGGATGCAACGAGAATCCCTAAGCAACTGATGTATGGGCAACTGAGCACAGGTAACCGGAATGCAGGCAAAGCAAAGCTGCACTACCAAGTCAATATCAAGTTTAGTTTGTCCCGAGTAAGTATTGACCTAAGGGGTTGGGAGGAGATGGTAACGGATCGCCGCACCTGGCGGGAACCCATCATGTGTACCGTTGCCCAAGCGCAAGAAAGACAGCTGGTGCACGCATCAGCTGCCGAGGGACTACAATTCTTCGGCTACTCCCACATGGAGCTGTAGTGCATGCGGCCGTGTATGCCTTAGCCCAGCCGGTCTGCCCAGTCACCAAAGAAACCACGATGGGGCTATGCCGAACAGGTCGACTGTGAGACCGAGAACCACGGAATGACATGTGGCCTTTGGTGGTACGCAACTGGGAAGGGACAGTGTAAGTTAAATCGGAGAAAAGTTATGGAGCAAAGTGAGTCAGAACGGAGTCCCCGCTCTATCGCAACCTCGGACGGGAGGAATTTAGTACTGATAATGCACGAATTCATCGAGTGTTGCAGCGCAGCGACAACCACCTATCGTTTCTGCAAAGACGAGGGCGCTCTGTATTTGCTTTACTGGTAATCCGAACACAGATGCCCACGCACGAGTGCCCCTAGGATGAGGTTTGATGCTGCATATACGCTCATATGCGCTCAGCTGTGACATACAGTCCATCAAAATAGCAACGAGGAGTATGGTACACGCGGTAACCATAAAGCAGTCACAAAATACCGTTCATTTGTGCGCACACACACTGACAAAATTTGCAATTTAATTCTTGAAAGACAGCGTTCGAAACAGGAGGAAATCCATCTATACATGGAATGGTGACCAAATCGTGATCCAGCGTGCACGTTTATATGGTCCTGATTACTCGATTGCTCGAGTAGGTAAGCACCCAGTCATATGGTCGGTGGCATCCGAGTGGTGAGCTGAAAACATACCCGAGTTTAACGCTGGCTCACCGAACAACCTTCCTGTGGTGCCAGCCGGGTGGTTGGGATTTATCCCGTTCCGGCAATTAGTTCAACGGCAGTGTTCCAGGATGTCGTGGGTTTTCGCCTGGCAAGCGTTCTCTATAAAAAAAACCCACCTGTTTGTGTAGCAACATTGCGACTTGGCGGATGTGAATCGCCACTAACCAAAGTCACTGCCCCGCGCTTATCTGAATGATCGATTCCACTCAACGGACATCACTGATCCCTTCTCACACTAGTGACGCGATCAAACATAGTCAAAATTGTGGGTGCAGACTTACAAACCCAAACAAAAACTGCACTCATACACATGGTTGGCGGCATCAACTTCCAGCTTTGCCTGTCACTGTGGCCTTCATGGGGACAACCACATTACGTTTGTGCCTACAGTGGGACCATGGGTGACTTGCGCTGCACCACACACTGCGCCATCCACACACCCGATATCCAGTGTAAACCCTAAGGAATAAGCCCGGTAAGCATGTGGATGGGAGCCACTTTTCATCAACGGAGCCGGCCAACACTCCTCCAACATGCCCAACAGCAAGATTTCTGTCCGATTAATTAAAGCATCATGTGTATCAGACGTACACAATGCGGTGGCTGATCCGTAGCCCGTTCCATCCTGGATACATGAAACCAGTCTCTGAGCATAGCACAGTCCTACGGACCGTGCACCCCGTTCCCCACCTCAGCAAAGTTACCGGTCTCTTGGAGCTCGTAAACAGAGTGGAGGGTGTTAAACAAGTAAGCACCTTGTCCACATGCACGTAAAGTGCAGCCACACCGGGGGTAGCAATTAACAGCTAAAAGCTGAAATGTCAGAAACTCAACACACATGCACACGTACGGATCAACTGCAGCGGTGATATTGCACAAGTACCACATCAACCGCATTATTGTAATGGGTTATTAAATGCTATTGAACAGGAACCAGCGAACTTATCAAGCGCTGTGCTGATGACCCGTCGCCTCTCCGCTGTTAGAGCCGTGTGGCGACACTGGTGGCCTACTAAGCCGACTCGGTTCAGGTACTTGCGACCTTATGTGCTACAGCACGATGCCCTCGACATTCATGGTCTATCCACCATCATCACCTGTCACTTCCTGTGTGTACTATGTAAAAAGCAAAGGTCGTCAGGAGAGACCTCAACAAATATTTTACAGAAAATAACCGGGGTGGGTTCACTGGCTTGATCTGAGATGTGCTTCAAAGTGACGTTGCAACAAGGCAAATGCTTGATTGAACTATTAAGTAGTTGGAAAACTTTGTGCAACATGTCCAAACAAAACATATACACACATACACATATACACAAACATATACACAGTTGTTACGCACCCCCTAGACATCATAACTGATCACTCGTTGTGACTAGGATTTGTACAGATGATCTAGGCCCAGGTCAAAGAAATTTCCCGCCCATGGTCAGCGTTAGGGAGCTCAGCAGGCATAATGTTCCACAGCTTACGGTTTGAATCCGGAAGAAACGTGTCAAACAACTGGGAACTAGCATATTAATATCTCGTTGTCCTCAGAAATGATCCAGATTTCAAAGAAAGTGCATATTAGAGACGAGGGCAAGGCATGAGTATTATCCCCAACTTCTCTCCAAAACCAAAAGTGACTGATTTGGCTCCCTGTTGTTGGCATGTAGTGAGTTTAAGCAAACAGCAAGATTTATATATGCATTTTGACAACTAGCTTCCGTTTAGTGTACTTGTTCCACTTTTGATAACCAGAACGGTGTCTCATAGACACCAAACTCTTTGCTGAACCAGACGCCAGATAGCGGAAAAGTCATTCCATAATACCGAAAACTGCTCGGTTTTTCGCTGACCGTTAGGGTTCTCGATTCGTAACGAACCCATTAAGATTTTCGTGGGATCTTATTCACGGCTTCGTTAAACCACACTGACACTGTGAACCGGGAACTGCAATAAGCTTTCGTTTCACCATTTGAAAATCAACACTTGATCTCATTTCATTTGCTTTAGGAGGGAACCAGAATTCCCTCAATATCAACCAAGTCTAACCTTAAACTAAGCTGCACCGCTGAGTTGGATTCTTCTAATTTCATTATAGCTGAGTCGTAGAAAGATTCAAGTGTAGGCTAACCATTATGGGTGTCTGCTTGATGACTACTTTTGCAATGATGGTTATGCAATAAGGATCGCAGTTGATGAAGCCATGCGTCCGTCAGTAATGAGCAATTCACTGCACTTTATATGCACATTAAGCAATAACTGTCATTGAATACAATAGGGTTGCTTTATCTACTACTAATACGACTACCACTAATAATAATAATATTAACACTAACATTACTACTAATACTACTACTACTAATAATAATACTAACACTGACACTACTACTACTACTCCTACTACTGTCTATCATGCAGGCGGAAGAGCTTGGTGAAAGGTTTCAGGACCATGAAGAAAAGGTTATTCAGATGCAGTCACATTTACAGAACCTGTTGGAAAGGCTAAAACAGTCTGGCGAAGAAGCAGAGAGAGCAAGCGAGTGGCTGGCGGCACAAGAACGAAGACTGAACATCTTGGGTTCCGGTCCGTCCACCTTGAACACACTCACTGATATGACAACCCAGCATGATGGAATCCGGCTCCAGATAGATTTATATACACAATGGGCCGAGCAGTTTCAGGTACGGTTGAATTGTTTGCCCAGTTGATAAGTTTGACTTATTCTTAATAAAATTCGTTTTTGAGGTTTCACCCATTTAATAACTCACTTTAGATAATATATATGAAGAACAAGTTTTAGCTTTGGAATATAGGATACGTTAGTCCCAATGAACCAGTGGATTTTTGGTATGGCATGTATAACAAACATGTGGGATAATTGCGTTGCAATCCCAAGTGACATTTTAAACGGTATATTAGAAATGGGAAGCTCCAACGTGCTTCATGTCTATGTAAGTGAAGGGGCGGGGTGGTTCGCTGTTCACTTTCTCTCACTAATCTATCCACCGACGGTTCTCAGACTGGTCGAGGGAGGACAGATTGTTAGGTAATGGATACCTCCGCATATTCCACGACGTTCTTGAGCTGTCTTCTTCGGCGCGCCCCACCATACCACCAGTCAATCTTAAGGATGTTGATGGTAACATCTCTTAATGTTCTCCACGCCATCCATGTCGATTTCATGCTCTGCCCGTAGCGCTTCCCTAGCTAATCTCAACTCTCTTAGTTGGTGTCCTGGAGACCCCGGCATACTTCTCTTGTAGTTCGCTATCCCCATAAGCAGCTCCCACGCGTTTTGGCTCGCATACACGTGTTGTTGTCTTCAGCACTAATTTGCTAGGCACAAGTGGTTGTTTTATTTGCGTATGTTAAGTACTAGCCCATAATGTGAATAGCTACACTAAGATCACACATGAATGGTGGGACATTTGAAGCAGTGTTAATCTGGTTAAGCGCAGTAGGAATCACTTCAATCCCAAACTCTGGTCAATAGCGTTAGAAAATCCTAATCAGTGATGGGTTGTAACACAGGATTCAGTCGAAGTCGAAGTCGTACCTCCAACAAACGAGTCCTTAAAATTTTAGAAAACTGTACAAGTGCACTGGCATTGTATTGGGTCAACGACAAACTTCTGGTTTTTGTGTCAGGGTGATTAGGTCAACAGACTATTAATAACTAGAATTCGCGACCGTAGGGCCCTCTCCGAGGTACAACGGATGTTGCTCTGTCCAGCGCGCGGACGCGATCGACGTCTAACACCGCTGCCTAATTTTCGCAGAATATAACTAAGTATGTGTGTGGCCGCATAGAAGAATACGTTAAAAAACGGAGTAGAATTACCCATACTAGTAGTTTATTGTACGCAGTTGTGCACCAAGAAGCCTTTTTCTAGGGTGCTCCGGCAAATCACGTATACTTGGCCCTACTACTTGCTCACCAACACGTGGGGAGTTTTGGTTTACCGTGCAGGAAGCTGCTGCAGCAGCAGCAGCAGCAGCAGCAGCAGCAGCAGCAGCAGCAGCACACGTTAGCTGAGGGTGAGAAACAGACTGCAGCTAATGTGCCGCAATACAACAGACAAGGGACTAAAAGTTATACTACAAAAACTTGAGGTTAAATATTATACTATACTTTTCGCATGAGATCGGGATTGGAGGAGGAACTTAAAGGGGGACGGATGGACAACGAAACTCACAACCCAAACGCTTTTGGGGCCGGCTCTTCGCCACATCAGCAAGTGTGTCCAACCGAACGTGTTCATCGTCCTTAGGACCCCAGCCAGGCAGTCGGGATGCACCAACCAACGCCAGTTTCAAAGTGAGGGTTTTCATTCCTCTCGACCAAGTCATCGCTTGTCATCCCCTCCTCCTCTTCCACCCGCACCACCGGCGCGCAAATAATGCACGTCGCGGAAGTCGGTGTGCTGGCATGCGCAACCCGTGGCCTAGCCATTGGTGCCTGGTGCGTGATACAATGGTGCTGGGCGGTTCACTCGCTCTTCCTGCACCGAATACGCAACGCCGAACACACTCATTGCTCACACGGTGCTCCCACCAGAGATGAGCTAAATCTGTGGAGGTAGCGATGATCGAATGTGACGAGCCTCTTTATGAAGGTCGACCTGATGGACCAGGTTTCACAACCATATAGGAGAGTTGAACGGACGGCTGTTTTATAAACTCTGTCCTTCAAGGCGAGAGTAATGTCGCGTCCGCACCACAGGTGGCGGAGATTGACAAAAGCAACTCCATGCAATAGAAAAACCTAAACGGGCAGAGACAATGTGGATAAGAATTACTGGGTGCGTACGTGTCGTGTAGTGAGACCATAAAATAAGATTTTTCCTACCGCAGCTCTTCAAGCATCCGAATATTTTGGTTTGATGGCTCACATCTATTCGTCTTGGACCCAGTCCACGAGCGTACAACCCGATGGGCTGCGCTTGCGCACTATTTGCACCTTAGATGTGAACGGCTACTCTCAGCTATGGAGAAACAGAAACCCTTCAAGACATCTGACACCATGATGTGTGAATCTACAACGGATGAATTCAGCATGTCGCGACCCAATTACTCCGAGTAATTGAAATACTATAGCTGGGTGTATATAATTATTCTGCATGTTTGCAGAACCCTTTTGCTCCAAGCAGGTATCTCATGATTATAGCGCTTCCAGCGCTGTCTGACCGCAACGTATCTGCTGTGCGAGCGCAGGCCGTCTGTGCCAAAGTTGCTACCATGACACGGCGGACAGGTAACATTTCAGCCGCCTGGTCAAGAAACCAGATGCTATAGCTTGCGCACAAATCTTGTCAGTAAATCATTTCCGTAGACCACAATGTTGGCACAGGAAATGCAAGTTTCTAAGACAATACTAGGGGATGACTACGGTGCTGACCCTATAAATGCAAAATTTGTGTCAAGTAGCGATGAACTGACTTCATACCGTAGCTCTCGCTTCCGCATTAGTAGGATTTACAAAGACATCGACAGTTGCCTGTCAGCTAAGTCTGGCATGTAGGGAATACATGTTCCTACTTTCCCAACATTTTTTACTACTGTGCAACATGTAGCATTTGTTTTCAATTAGAACCGATAGTATGTTTCTTGGAAACTGTGAATATATCTAATAAATAGGATGCTGTTTTCACCAAGGAACTTGCCACTTTGTTCTATTCTCCTTTTTACGGAGTACCTCCACTGTGGGTGAATGCTACAGTCGGTGCTGCTTCCTTTCTGTAAGCGCATCGGACAGTTTCAACTCGGTTTGGAGGTAATAAACCCCAAACTGTTGAGGATGACGTTATAATACCCCATCTTCTTTAGTAACACGGTGGAAGAAAGCATTTGCATATATAAAGGCTGAAGGATGGAATTGAAAAATAGGCGTTGCCATATCTGACTTTTTGGGCCAACAACTGATCCATTTACGTGCAACAGATAATAGCTACGAATGAAGTTTAATGACAACTTGAGTGTGTCGATTCCTAGCTGTAAATTAGTATGTTTTCAGACCTAGACACCCGTCATAATCGAGTTCTAACAAAATATTTCGCTTAAATTCGAGAACTAGTCAAGTGAAGCTTCATATGCCCGGATAGGTGAATTTTCGACATCTTCCATTATCAATTGCAGAGGAATTAAAGGGACATCATTAAAACTATAAACTTGTATCAGTGGATAAAGGGAACAGGTGCATTGTTGCCACTTGAGTAAAAGGACTCGCATTCTCGATCAAAGATGGCACGCTTATGAACAGAATCCTCGGGCTTTGTGTAGAAACAGAACAGCACAATTTTCCTAGCATCTTTCTTGCTAACTAGTCTCAAATGGCCTAAGTATTTCTTTGCCTAAAGCAACAAATGAGGAATCGTGTGCAGTATCTCGACCTTTTCCCAAAATATAGGTAGACTACAACATCCGAACTCTTGTGCATCACTGAAATATCCAGAAGTTACATTAAGACGTGATCTCAAGTGCTTTTCTCACGTGAACGAGGCATTCACTAAAGTCAGGAGACTAACGTCCAATAGCTCCCGACAAAATTTTCATTCGTTCCTTGTTATTTGATATTGCGGTTTATTATCGCTTGCATAGTACTGTTTTTCAGGTCCTTTGTCTTAATAATGCGACGGAGCTAGCTGATTACGTTGATCACATTAGCCGATGGCACTGAAGTGCCCATCGACAAGTGAAAGGCCATGTAATGGGCTCCAATGGAAGGTACCTGCACAACTTACTACCAGGGGGCGTCGTAAATCATATATATGTTCGATATTTCTTGGACTTTAAACGGGCAGGTTAAAGTGACGATAGGTCACTGAAGCAACTTGCTCGATGTAGCCGGATTTCAATATAAGAGTTTACTGGCACCATTTTGCTTAGCCACCTTCACTCCTGCGAAAAACTGGCGTCCAAAAACACTGATGCCAGTCACCCCCTCCATAGCGCATGGTCAGAATGTATCTCGACTTCATCAAGCAGACAAAAGTACAAAGCCATTTAGGCTCGCACGATGTCAGTTGTTCCATAGTTGTCATGTTATTAAGGGATCAAAATGTGGTCAAACAAGAGCTTATTGTCAAAGCGAATTGAAGATATCAGCTCTGTCACGTTTTCAAATTGCTGACGCCCCAAATTCGCTTGAAATAATTTTCTTCACTTTTATCAGTCTTTGGTGCGTATGTTGTGGCTGAAAATTCACTCTTCATGAGTGCATAAAACGCATGGTTGACTTGATTTGACTTGAACATCTAACGCAGGGAGAATTGCTAGAGCAAGCCTCAAACATACCTGTTTCCACTTCTCCAACCATAGAGGCTTCACTTGGAGATGCATCCATGACGCCGACAGCTCAGAGCCGTAGGAAATCCGGTGCAGATAACAAGCAGGTAACGTACGCATCGATTGCCTCGACAAACACACCGGGAGGGACACACATAGGTCCATTTTCAGTACCGAGCACGCGTGGTGCAAAGCAGCTTTCACCGCCAACTCCAATGGTGTCCTCTAAACAACGCGAATTGCCAGCAAAAAGTATAAAGCCAACACTCACTAGACAAAACCACGCTGCGTTAACCCTCGTGTGCACCAATGTTCCCGAATCCAAATCTGGAACAATAAAAGGTAAATTGCAAGATGATCGCAACCAGTGGAGTTCCATCTGTGAGGCAATTAACAT